AGAGTGAAGAGACTACCGAAGATTAATGAATTTAACTTGTTGCTTGTTCTATGCGGAAGTGTAGTCTGGTTAAGGATGGTAAAGATGAAAATGTGATGAAGCAAGGACAACATGTAAATGCCATTTGAAAGTGTTCAATAATAGATTATTTGCATAGAACTCACAAGTTGTCACCTTTTTTTTTAAGTCTCTCACTCAGCATCAAGAACATACAGTAGACTCATCAAGAATCAATATCATAGATTAAAAGGCTAGGAATTGGAAAGAAACTATAAAAAATGTTTGTCAGTTTTTTTAAGTGTCTTACTTTTTTGAGTTTTTATCACTTTTTTAATTTATGTCATTTTATTGAACTGATTCTAAGATTTTGATTTGTGTTTTGTCAATTTTTCAGTGTTGTCACTTTTTTTCTATTCCTTTTTTTTATTGTATGTTACTTTTTTTGTTTTTAATTTCTTTTACTTTTTTGAGTGACAAATATCACTTTTTTAAATGTTTCACTTTTTTTTTCAGTTACTTTTTTATTGTTTGTTACTTCGTTACAAGAAAAATGGTCTTCTCTCTCTTTTGGCTGTAAGGAAAAGTTTCCGATTGAAGGTGTGTTAGAGTTTTGACAAACTATATGGCCGTGACATGGAGCCACTCAAATTCGGTAAGTGAATCCAGCCTGAAATCGTCCCAGTAAATCAAAAACATCTTTTTTTTAAGTGTTTGTCACTTCTTTAATTTATGTCACTTTATTGAACTGATTTCAAGGTTTTGATTAGTATTTTGTCACTTTTTTTAGTATTACTTTTTTTGAATTTCTGTCGCTTTTTTAATTGTATGTCACTTTTTAATAAAAAAGTAACACTTAACTTTATATAATATTTTTTTACTTCCAAGATATTTTTCACATATAACTTTTCAAAAGATCCATAATTTTAGAGGTATTTTTGTAATTAACCCCTTTTTTCTAATGGAATTATTATTTTACTGTGTATCAGTCTAGTATAATTTATTTTATTTTTTTCTGGCTCCGCCCCTAATGCACATGTTCATATTTTAATTTAACTACCATTTTATTCTACTGTTAACATGAATTGCTAGTGGGGTTTTCTGATGTGGCGATGATGAACTTTACAGTTTTCTCTGTATACGCCAGAAAAAAATCTCATGTCACAATTGCTTTAAGTTGAACTTCCATTACATTTCAAAAACTACACGAAATCTTCGTGTGACTGGTGCCTCCATGCATCTTACTATTAATTTGGCAATCCATGAGTTAGCGGACAGTTTGGCCATTGATTTAAATAACATTTATTTAAATCAATGATCGGGATATTTACACATTGTTGATATCTAAACTAGTTGTATAAAATCACTGTACAAATAGTTTAATCTAAACTAGTTGTATAAAATCACTGTACAAATAGTTT